GACTCTTGCTGAAATTGCGAGCTGTACCGGTCGCCGTGACGCGGTGGAAAGTTCTGCCCCACTAATTGACGGGAGGACGAAGCTCCACGTGAAGGTCGGTAGTCGACGGTCTCGGTGGCGTGCGTGACGTTGCATGCGAGTTGCTTTTCTGTAGTCACGGTTATCTCTTTGGCTTCGGCCTTGACTCTTTCGATGTTCAGGACGATTTTCACTACTTGCTCGAAGGGAAGGGTGCTATCCAGGAGCAGCCGTTCTCGAATTGTAGTCGATAGCACTCCAGCCGTGAACTGTTCCCGAATGTTTTCGTCCTGTTCAGACCCGAAGTTGGCCGGAACTGCCATGTCTCGAAGCGCGGTCAGGTAATCAGACAAGGACTCTCCAGGCTGTTGATGGCGCCGACGGAAGCGGTGACGCTCCAGGCTGACGTCGCACGACCTCTTGAAGTGCGCGCTGAGGGCGTCGACAGCTTCTTGGTAGACATTCGTTGTCAGCGGTTCAGAAGTGGCAGCCGCTGACGTCGTTGCAGAAGTGGCTGCCGCTGACGTCGTTGCTGGCGACGGCACAGCGACAGCGCGGGAAGAAGGCAGGTTGTCAAAGACCCGCTGACCCTCTATTCCCAGACAGTGGCGGAGCATGTATCGGCGGCGTTCCACGGGCAGTGCATGGGCACCAGATGCACCCATGTAACATTCAAACAGCGAAAGCCATCGCTCCCAGGGAATTTCCGGAGTCCCTGGTTTCTCCAAGAAGTCTGGAGGTGGCTTGAGTCCGAATCCCTCCATCCTCGTCGCCAGAAAGGATGTGGTGTCTGGAGACCCGGAATGGAACGACCACACTTGAGCGCAGCTGCCACGAGACTCTATCTTTAATCTTTTTTGGTAAAGAAGATGAAGTAGAAAGGAAAAGGACAGAAGAAGACGAAGTGACCGGAAAGTAATTAGCTAGAAGATACAACAATAACCCTACTGACCAATCAGGATTTTCCCGTCACGCCACGGACGCCGGCTTTCCTGCGGAAGGAGCTCATTAAGGCAATCACGTTAAAAAGACTACTTCCTGCAATAAAATGATGCATATAATGTCTGAAACTGTCGACCTTTTCATCTCAGTAGTTACCTGACTGGTGTACAGAGGGCGCTGACACACGCGGCGCCATAAGTAGGCTTCAATTTGGTTGGTTTAGGTTTCAGCGTGCTTGCGGCTGTTTGTGTGTTTTGTAGTTTTCGTTTAGTTTTGTGATATAAAAATATCCCTTGTTAAACAGAATAATGATACAGTGGTAATGGGCCACCTTGAGAACTACGACGTAGTTACGAGCCTAAATTGTGAACGTTTTTACGAACACCTTCATCTAATCATCTTCTTCGTTCGGCCAGGTTCGGCGGCGAAACGATTGAAATGATGCCGGGAGAGGATTACGAATGTCTAGTGCCGCACGGGACGTACCCGCTCATATTAGTTTCCATAAAAATAAACCAATGAAGAGGCTAATGCATGGAGGCACAGTAAAAAAGTAGGTGGATGACCTGACTAACAATAGGCTGAATCGCAGAAAACAGATGAACTTGCAAGTTTACTACTTATTGTCCGGTTTATGAAGACACCAACGTTTTGTGAAAATTGCCGATAAGGAAACCCCCTGTAATGACGCACTGAATGCAATAAAGAAGCGATATTGTCTCCGTCGGTTTCTTTAAAAAAATTAAATACTGGAGAAATGTTTTGATCGTCCATCCTAGGCCGTGTAAGAAATTGTTTTAAACTATCAGCCCTGCCAAAGTATTCATTCGCAGCATTTCAGAATGTTGTTCTTAGCAAACGTTTTGCTGTACGAATATTTTCTTACAACGTATCGAAAGAATGAGGTAAGGGACAAACCCGTCAAATGAAGTATCACGTTTGTCTCCTTTATACACGGCTTGCACATTACGTCATCCAAAGAGCGCTCTACTATGGCCACCAGAGAGCAGGTGAAGTAGGAGCTTTCCTTTTACCAGGACCTCTTTTGCGTCTTCCAGACTTGCCCAGATATCGCTATTTTCCTCCCAGAAGATTAGAAAAGATCGTCCCGCCACTCAAGGTTCCTACCCCTCCAAAAGCAGCCCCCCTCTCTCACTTTTTCATGGTGACCGAAAGCACGCGATGTGTCGCCAGTGTAAGCCATGTATACTCTGCGAAATAAAATAATTGGCGCAAGAGAATGGACCAGCTCCAGCAAGCTTGGCTCAAGTGAAATTCCATGCACCACTTCATGAATTTGGGTAGACAGATATTTTTTATTATTTTTTTTAACAGATTCATTTTATAGTTTCAGCGACATCGAGAGTAAATTGTACATCGACAGGGCTGCGCTGTAGCGATTTTTATGCAGACGATTTTTTTTTTCGGTGTTCCGTGCCTCAGGCGATTTTGTTAGGCACTCACAACACAATACTGCCAATTAATTGAATTGAATATTTTAAGAAGATTGAAGGAATGCAAACATGGGACCGAGCACTATAAAAATTCACGGGGGCTCTTATGTTATCCCTTAGACGATTTGAAGGCGAAAACCCAAGTGCCGATGCATTAAAGACAAACACATGATTTACTCGCTGAGCCATTCCTCTTAATGTGCTGAGTCATCCTTCTCAATGTTCTGAGTCATCATTATTAATGTGTTGAGTCATCATCTTAATTTGCATAGCCGTCCACTGAGCGGTCCCGTAAACGTTTTCGTACATTTTGTGTCGCCAACGTGTTTTCGCTCAAGGACTTTGAAGGTCGACTGAACGATGAGACATATAAGGATTTCGCCCTTAATAGTTTATTTAAATTATTCAATAAACAGATAAAGCAATCGTTTCAACCGAAAACATTATTCTCCCATATAATCAAAAAACAACTGTTTTGGACGTGTTATGAAGGCAAAGCACCATACTAATAAAAAAAACACATAGTGACGCTTTGTGTTGACCATGTTTGTCTTGTTCTTTGAGATTATAAACGCGTCATCATACATATACCTTGCGCTTCTCGTTGCGCCACTGTCCCTTATGAACATTTGGGCTGTCATAAATAATTGGCCTCTCAACTCTCTTGCGTCTTAGTGTCCTCTACATACTCAAATTGCGCCAGTGCTAACGCTGATTCCTTTCCTCACACGTGTGCGGTACGCCGGCAGTGCAAATAGTCGAAAAGTATTATAAAATCAAGTGCAGAATTTCTGCCAATAAAGATGGAACGGTGTTAGGTATAGTGAAAAAAGGTCTCGGATGATTTATCGCAAAGCAAGGCAAAAATTTGCGGTAAAACGTGACGAAAAACACGGATACAGTGCCTTCGCCAAGGCGCGTAGGGGAGAAAGAAGCGACGAGTTGAGGCCGCCTAATGGCGGCTGTGTCACGTGATTCCAAGATGGCAAGCCCCATGCGACAAAGGGTGAAAAGGTCTCATCTATGAAATAGGGTTGCGCGAATAGTGGTTCGAATCGGATAGCGCTGCGTCGTTCATAGCCTTAACAAGGCAAGGGATCGAAAGCCAAGACGGCCGGTTCTTTCAACAGTACATAAGTTACGGATGACGCTACGCTATTCGATTCGAACCAATATCTGCACACCCTTATTATCAAGGGTATAAAAAGTAGGGATCACTGAAGACAGCTGTTTCTTTTCTTTCACAGAGTGACGTCGCAACGGGACGCACCTGTCGCGCGCCGAGGTCGAAGGTAAAACTACGTAGTCGGTTAAAACTATGCTCCATAGGATGGGTGACGTTTCCTTTACACGTGATTTACTGGGCTTTTCATGAATTGTGTTTCAAGTTTTTGCAGAGAAAAACAAACCTAAGAATATTTTCGCCGCTGCAGTGCTCACATTAACTTTTCCTCCGTTTTAAATACATATATGGGATCGTTGAACCCTTAGGATCAAGCTTACTACGGGTGTTGGCCACCAAATAGCAATAATTAAAATGTTACATAGGAATTATTGGTTGATTAGTTAGCTAACTAGTATGATTTTTGTAATCCCTGGCGTACGCCTTGGCTTGCAGTTTGTTTCCGAATATGTTTCCTTTCACTCCAACAATATATTTTGGGGGATTTTTAAATTTTCGCTTAAACAGCCGTTATGCACTGAGATCACGCGTACGCTCGACCCTGCGAAATAACACATTAAAAAGCTGTTATTCATAAGTAGTAGGTACAACCTTTCTTGATAACGAAACAGTGGTAGTTTTAAAGGAATTAAGAGCCAAGGGTTTTCTACAACATCAATCATGCACTAATTTAGCATCGTTCATCCGTATTTCAAAGTTCCTCATTGATAAAATCTGCCAAAAGAGTTTGCTATCATTTGCCTATTGCACTGTGCCTGCATTCTGAACACATATGTTTAGATCATTTATTAAAATATTGAACTGATTGCTCCCGGTATAAACCCCGGCGGCACACAGGGAAAGAAACATCAGATCAGGAGAACCGTCCAAAGAGCACGAATAATATTTTTGCGATTGAACGATGAATCCAGAAACAATGCATAGCGGAGTACTCATACCGTAAGGTTGCAATTTGTGTATAAGTGACGGATGACTAGCCAAGTAAAAGGCTTTCAAATAATAAAATATACTGTATTTAATCGACCACGCTGAATGACAACAGGCGGGACAAAGGTTAAAAACAACGTTAAATTTATTTCGCTCATCTGTACTCACAGATCTATGTTGTGTATGGCTAAACTTGTCTAAAAATTCAACTTATGTTTAAAGAAAATTTCATAAAAATTTGCGAACAGACATTGCAGAGATACTGGCCTATCATTTTTACAGCATCCTCTGTTTCATTTTTACGAATTTATTTAAAATGGATAACACAGTGAGAGAGTTGCGAAGTTAAGGGGAGTATTCAATTCTATATTGAACCCCATCATGCTCTCTTGCATCTGTGGAATGAATCGTTCGTGCTACAAAAACGACTTGTAGAATATTCTGTAATTCTGTAATATAGCGATGTGAGTACTTACGAGGTATGTGATAGTGTAGCTAATATTAAGAGTGAATTGGAAGTAGTTTTGGAAATCAACCATTGCCTGGAAAATAAATCATATAATTTAAACATTAGAGCATGAATTGATATACCATATCCAGGTAATACCGGATTTTATGTAGTAAATGACAAAACACATTCGCCAGCGGAGCGTTGTGCGTGTGCTGAAAAAAGAAGGCATTCAGGTTCTCACAAACCAAGGTTCATATTGGGACGATTCATGCCGCAACCGAAAAATCCTATCTAAAAGAAAAAAAAAAAGAAGAAGAAGAAAAGCACAGGATGGGATTTATTGAATTCCGTACGCAGTGTGCCCCGCCACCTGCATCGCGAAGCGAAGATCTTTTCAGAACGAATCCGCCCGCACAAGAACGACGTGCGAAATTTCGACAGCGAGCACAGCGCCGTCTCCAAACAGTGTTAGATCCTCCACCATCGGATCTACTCCGCGAAGGCACGCGTGATCGACGCTGAGCCTCATTTTAGGAAAAAGGCTTTTCCTGGAGTCGTAATAAATTCAGCACACTTGATCAAATTGAAGCAGGCATCTCGCCCCCTGCCATCTGTGTGCACCCATGGCCTACAGCACCCGACAAGGACAATAGACCACTTAAAAAAAAATCTCAGCTGTGCATAAAATATTAAAGCCAGAGCTCGCTGCGCTGCAGGCATTTATCTTCTTGTGAGCTTCCGCTAAAACACGGAACTTTAGCGTCCGTAAGGACCTAGTTATTCGCGACTCAAGCAATACGGACGGCCCGTAGCGGGAAAACTGTTAACTATAGCCGACACAGATAGTCGCGCGCTCTCCTCGACTCTGGCGGCTTTTGCGGTGATCTGTAGTCGGCGCTGGCGAACGAAGTTAATTTACGGAATTCCGAAGATTTCTCATTCGTTCCTCGGTATTCATTAGCGGGGTAGAACGGCAGTAGATTGCTTCCTTTCATCGCCTCCGTTCCCAAAAACGGCGAAGCTATATAGCCGGAGGAATTTTCTGTTTCTAATCACTCTCAAAATGACAATTACTTGGTAGCTGATAAATAAATTGTATATAAACTTGTAGAACCGCGGAGTGGAGGTGGTTGATTCTGTGTAGTTGAACTTCAAGCCATTTGACGGAAGGGAACACGGGTGTAACAGTCAAGATGGGTTCAATGGCTGCTTTTCCTGAGTTTGTCTCCAATCGGTCAGCTGGAAGCTTGAAGTATTCAAACCGATCGGCGCGTTCGCTATTTTCTTTGGTGACTTCTCTCATCAAAAAAGTCCCTCAAACACACCGAAACAGTTAGGTCAATTTTGCGAATATATAATTTTGAGAAAGCCCTTCCCAGCTGCCCTCTAGCACTCTGGCCGTTGTATATGATAAGTTAGTAGTTCCTGCCTTTAAAAGGCACGAGGCGAGGTCTGACAAAGTTCGAAGCCACAACAACCCCACGATCACTCGTGCCTGTAAAATTTACACAATGCCTGCGTCGCAGCAGTAATGCGTCTTCATTTTATAGGTTCCCAGGTCACGAAAAATCATCTACCCGTGATTTGCATCAAGACCTTTCGGAGTTCAGTTTGATGCAGTGATGGTCTGGATGAATCCCCGGTGATGAGAGCGGAGACTCAGACCTCCCGTCAGTCGGCGTCTGCGTACTGCTGGCTAGAACCGTTTTTCCGAGTTGAAGTTAAAGAGCTCGACACCAGTGCCGAGCGCTGACGCTACATGGTGTCCAATGCAGGCTCGAAGTGCGTGCCCAAGATATGGCGGCCATGAAGAATCGGCGCAACAATTATACTGGGAGCGTGTATTTTGAAAAGTGTCTATTACGCTTAAGTGCTTCTCGATAGTTATGGTAAATGAGAACGTTCCTAATAATCAGCAATGTTTGACTTTATTGCGAAAGTGAGGTTCCGAACCGCATGTTTTATTAATGTTTTACTGTTTCCTAACTTTGTTGTGTGATATGGATCAGCAGCCCGTGCATACATGCTGTGCGTTGACCGTGCCACCAATATTTCTGCAGCAAATCTAAGAAGATTAGTCATTTATAAAATAAGGAATTTTTAAATAAAATATTTACCATCTGCGTGACGTATGATAACCAGCCTTTCACTTGATCTTGATTCTCAGCACCGACGGATTCATCAAGGATGTAATTCAGGGTGAGGGTTACTACATCTGAAAAATCTAAGACATGTGCGTTTTTTTAAATGATTTATTACATTATTTGATATATGTTCACAAATCACGAACCAAACACATATAGAAACGCGACACTAGTGGTAACCAGTGCAGTTTTATTAAATCTAATTATAATGCACAAACTACTTAGGTAATGATACAGGGCCGTGAAATCCTCGAAAGCGTCTTAGTGGTTCGAAAACCGGATCACACAGCGCAAATCACAAATTTCCTTATCTCCTTTAGATGACGGCACTGCCTCTGTGTATCAATGCGTATTTTCCATCATAATTATTATATTTTGGTTATATGACGTGCTATATTGTTATTAGGTTAGCGTTTCGTGTGAGCTAAACTACAAAGATAATGTATTAAATACGGCATCTCAACACATCATGAATTGAACGCTTGCTTCGAAATTCAACTGCTCTTATAAGTTTTGTGTTTTAGCAGTTTTATCAAGTACAAATTATATAAACTCATCGCAGCTTGCCTTTTTTTAGCGTATCTAATATAAAAATATTAAAATTAACAACATCATTGTTAGGGATGAGATTGAGGGGTCAGTGGAAGCTTCAACTTCCCGTCCATTACTACGAGGAAACTGTCGTAACCGAAAACTAAACAAAATGTGAATGATTTGAACATTTTCATAATTCTACGACAATATACGCACGTGGAAAACATTAAAACAACTCTCTCTCTCTCCCTTTCTCTCTCTCTATGGCAAGCTTGTTTACTTCTACGTCAACCTTACCCTGTTTAAGCGTGACGCATATCGGTTTCCTTTTCTCTCAATTATAACCGGGTCACTTTCCTGATACCAAGTAACGTTCCTCTGTATTATTTTCTGCCTAGACAAATGGCCCTCTTTCTGCCTTTTTGATTGGTTCCTTTTTTATACTATTAAATGAGGGGTTCTGAAGGATCAATTTAATATAGAATGATTTCGACTCACTACACCATTCTGTTTTATCACTGCCCCTAAGAAGTAATATTGCTTCTTTGAGACTGCATTCCCGCCAAGAGAGCTCCCCCCTACGTTTCTCAGCATTAAGTATGACTTTATTGAAATGTGTGAAAAAAAAATTAAAAACAAAACTTAGACATACATTTATACTGTTCGTGATAATTTTTATTTGGCACTAAAAGAGGCATGCACTAAACCCGTCCCGCCGCTCGACTCCGTCGTCTATGTCGCCGCCCGCCATTTACCCAGGCAAGTTTCTTGGCCCTATTGTTTACAGAAAGGAAGCTACAGTTCGTAATTTTGCATGATAAAGCTGACCTCTGAAATACACATTTGACGAAAAGTTCAGATTGCTTCGTGCAGGCGTCGATTTTTACTGTCCATTTTAGATCGAGCCTGGTTACTTTAGACACCCTTAATATGTATGCTTCAAACATGTCCACAGAAAGTTCTTGTATGATGTATTAGCGGTGTGACCGCAGTTTCAGGCATCTGCCTCCCCTCTTTGGGTATGGGGTCTTCTCTTGCTTACTCGTAGAGAAGAATGAGATCTTTTTTACGCACACGTTTTGCCGTCATGGTGGTTTTTGAAACGCCGAACTGGAGACGATCATAGGTGAGCGAACTAGTCTAGTAATTTTTGTTTTTTTTATATAAATACAGTCTGTCGAAGCCTCCCCTAGGATTGAAAGGTGAAAACAATTTGACCACTCTCGCTCTTTCGGCGTATTTGAAGAAACGCCGCACACTGTGCAGCAATTACAACGTTTTGGCTGTTGGTCACGTGTGCTAATTCCCCCAGTACAGACTTAACTTACTCTGAGGTTCCTAGTAAGGAATGTATAAGGTTTGTGAATTCAATTCCAAAACTGGCACATTCCGCTTTTGGTCAGAGTAATGCTACGAAATTATTAATAGTTTGATGCCTTGAACTGTTGTCTAAACGTCTGGAAAGACTTTTAGACGTGTTTTTTGTTCAGTGGGGCGTATAGCATGAGAGGTCTCGTGCGTCGTCTTGAAAACATTGCAGCCCATACGACGTTGATCATAAAATTATTCTTGAAAAAAAAAATAGTTCAGCTGGACAATGTTCACTACCCCCTGAACTGACCCCTGATGAGTTCATGCTTCGCTTAGGATAAAAATACCTCAGAAAAGCGCCTTTCTAAAACGTTCAGATTGTCTATAGCACAGTAACAGAGAAACATGCAGAACTCTATTGGGATATGTTCAAACAAGCATTAATTTTTTTGTACCAACGTTATGTAGAACATATCCATACTGGACAAAATATATTTTAAAAAATCAACCTTATTTTTCAAGAAGGTATTGCCTTCAATTTCCCTCAGTCATCCGGGCATTATACTGAAGAATCGGACAAGTGGGTAGTATTAGAACTCCACTCATATTAATACTGTTTACTGTTCCACGTTATTTAGAGCTTGTTTCAAGGCACACAACGACATGATGTACGGATAGAAATTACAATGAAATGCCGGCGCCTATATTCCCAAGTTGTGAGGGGAGCGCTCAACTTTGGCGAACTGTATCATGCTGCACAGATGGCATAGTAGCGAAGTCCTATCCCGATTGTATAGCGGTGACGTACATTATGTGACTACTGTTGGTTAGCACAAGAGAAAAAATAAACATTGATAAACATTGATCGATAATCACTGTCGTCAAAACGGCTATCAATCATTCCCTACTAATGGCAAGTTAATTACGTTTGTTAGCGTAAATCTAGTACAGCCCTAAAGACCAGCGGTATCAACATGTTTAAGCAAGGATGAAAGTCTTTATGTTTAACGTTTTTATAGTTATTTTAGTGGGGGGCTAGAAAACTTGGTTTTAAACAAAGTTTTTTTATTAAAGGTTATTGAACATTTGGTTGCAATTCTTATTCCTGATGGCTGAAATAACAGTCTTATTTGAGTGCTGCATAATTGAAGGAGAGGTAAATAAAAATTCACATGTAGAATTCTACATCTTGGTTGTTAACATCACTCATGAAAACAAACTCCAGTTCTAGCTCGTTTTGTGACACAAGCCAGATAAAGGTGCATAGGATGATTGATTGCTAGAAGTTTGAATTAATTCCTTAGATGTGGACAATTTGACAAGCATTTTATGTAAAATATTCGAACATGTCATCTACTCTCAAGTCATGGGCTCTCTTAACTTTAGCTATCGTCACCCTCACTAACACGGCTTTTGCAAACATCTTTCTTGTGATACTCACTTATTTGAATTCGTAAAAGATATCCACGATAACTTTAACGACTCCTATACTACGGAAGCAATTTTCATTGATTTTGCTAAAGTCTTTGATACTGTTCCTAATCAACGCTTACTTCTAAAACTTTCTCAATTAAACATAAATGATCAAATCATCAGTTGGATTTCATTTCTCACCAATCGTAAGCAGTATGTATGTATAGATGACACGTACTCGCCCTCCATTACAGTTAAATTTGGAGTTCCACAAGGCAGCGTCTTAGGTCCACTTTTGTTTCTCATCTACATAAACGACTTAACTTCACTAATCTCGTCATCAGTTAGGCTTTTTGCTGATGACTGTGTACTGCACCGCCGAATTTCTCATCCTAGAGATTCGGAGCTCCTTCAACGCGACATCGACATCTTGGGTGAGTGGTGCTTAACATGGCAAATGAACATCAATGTTACTAAAACCAAGCTAATTTCTTTTAATTCCTCAAAACACCACGCTCCCTCGTACTCAATTTTTTGCGATCCTATTTTATCCACCCAGTCATAGTGATACCTAGGTATCACTTTCACCGAAGATCTAACCTGGAATGCGCATATTGAAAACATCGTTAACACATCATTAAGAACTCTGGGATTTCTGAGAAGGCATTTATACCTTGCTCAGCAGGACGTGAAACTTACTGCATATAAAACCCTCGTTAGATCGAAAATTTAATTTGCTGGCACCATATGGGCTCCTCATCAACTTCACCTAATTAATAGGCTAGAATCAGTCCAGAATAAGGCCGTCCGCTTCATTCATAGAAACTACAGTACGAAAATCAGTGTCTCCCAACTAAAGGTTCTTTCTAATTTAACTTCTCTTGAATCACGTCGGAAAGCCGCTCGCCTTACTCTTTTTCGTAAGTTTTATTACAACATGCCATCATTCCTGCTCACTCACTGTAAGCCTGCCTCATACATTTCTTTGCGCCATGATCATTCCTTAAAAATCGCACCTATATTCGGTCGCACTAATAGATACACATACCCTCCTCTTGCTCTGTCCATTAAAATTGTAATTCTCTCCCAAACGACATAGTCACTGAAAAGAACGAAATAATATACCGCGAAAAATCCTCGGCTTTGGTGCTAAGATATATTTTCAGCGCCATGTCTGCTTGTGTTTGCTATAAATTGAGCACTGTGTCCCCAGTTTTGTTATGCCCGGTTTGTGTAAACTTTGTTCTGAATTCTGTATAGTTCGTTTTTAGTTTTTGTTTGTTGTTAATGTTTAACCTTAGTTGGTTCTTTGATTGCCATTGTATCATTGCATTTGTTTGCGTTTTTCTACCCCCCCCCCCCCCCTCATGTAATACGTTCAAACGAACGTCTTTGAGGCAAAAAAAACTTGAACTTGAAAAATCGAATAACAGACGGAAACAGGCTCTTCTCGTTCGATGAAGCGCCTCTCATCAAGAGTTTATGAAACCCAGCCTTGTTGATGTACATGAGATGAAAATACATAAAGGCCAAATTTCTACCTAACTTATATCATAATTCTCATAATAAGTTTTAACTATTTAAAAATTATTTACGGCTTACGGCGCCGTTTTTTATCGTATATAAACTTGTCATTGCCTTAGGTGTTTTTGTAAGGTAAATCAACGCATCAAGAACACGTATTTGATTTCAGTAAGCTTTACATATTTACGTGAAACTATAATTTTAAAACAAAACTGACCGACTAGAGAATTTCGCGAGCGCCCCAACTGGTTGCTCTGCCTACAATATTATTATCGGGGTGTTAGAATATGTGCAGTACGGGACACAGTGAGCACAAAAACACGAACCCCCAAAAAATGACTATAACCCCGGTCTGTCTCTACAGTGGGGAAATATGTTCATGTGGAGCAATCTAAGCGGGTCCACTTTTTGTTCGCCAGGATCCTGTCAAGCATACAATTAAAAGAGTTTAGTTTTTCACTCAACGTCTCGACAGAAAGCAATTCACTAAAATATACTACATTTGTGTTTTTACGAACCAAGAAAAAAAGTGTTCTTGCAGTATACTAATGGACCATTAAAATATACTTCTGACTCGTATACCTCAGCTGTAAGACTGGTTCTAGGAGCGCGACGAACAGATAAAACATAAAGTATACGAAGAGTATCTTAGGGGGTGTATATTTCACATATTTTAAACCGATACTGAGTTTTCAAATATATATACATTTTTATTACATGTTTGGTTTGTGGGAAACATAATTAATATCTCTAAAATACTTTTTTTTTTGCCAAGGGTCTTACCAAGTAAACGGTTTCATGCCTCTAATTATAAAATACAAATTATGGCGCTACATATTTACAGTTCTTTATTTTCAACAAACACTATATTAGTCTTATCCCGTACTATGCCTTTAAGAAACTGTTACGGCACTCCTGCTCTTACTAATTGGATTGTCTCGAATTCCTGACCGAAAGCAATAATCTTGAATAAAAGCAAAACTTCCATGAAATGTTCATATTTTTGAAAAAGAAAAAACCTTTATACCACCAAAACACCTCTAGAAATAGTTCATTTTTTAACAAAGTATTTGACTTACCACCGTCTTCGTATCTTGAGCTTAGATTAAATTTGGGCAAGCATTCCACACCAGTGCACATAAGCCATAGCCATAGACACAAACTCCAGTATAGTGGATTCATTGATAGCCTCCTGCAACTCAAAATCTTTGCGTTCGCCCGAAATTAGTAGTTATATATGAGAGGTTACCGACTTGCGCAGAGCTGTTGGCGAGAGTCGTGTGAGTAGGAATATTTTCGCACAAAAAGTAGCGTATTTTGTATCAAAGTTGATTTTTAAGCAGTGCCGTACAGGCAAAGTACTAAATAAAATCTAACGATGTAAATTTTGTTCTGCAATTTTTTGCCCCTCTCTACTTCCGCTTCTTATCAAGTCACATGAAGTTGGTATTTTTTATTGCTTATATCTTTGCTTTAAATATTTGACCTTTCACTTAACGAACTGTCATATGACCTTTGCCTCAGACATATGGTAGTTATTTTACGGTTTGCGCTATACACGAAGGGTGCATGTGCCTTTCAGAATTTCAGCTACTGTACGGAAGACTTCCACTTTTCAGATTCATTTAGTTCGGTGCATTATTATGTCAATAATTTCAGCTTGAATAAAAAATCCCACTGAAATTAAGCATACCAGCTAACGTAGATCGATATTATTTTGAAAACATGCGCGAAAAGTGCCGCAAGGCTTCCAGCGGACGTCATTGACCCCTGTCAATGACCCCGGAGTGGTTATGACATCTGTGGTTTTTCTCATGAGCCAGCTGTTTCGGCTTCCCTTTAGAAGCAACAACAACTGGATTAAATTGGCATTCGATTGGCTGTGAAGGCTATGAGCCATCACAGCCAATTCACTGTCGCGTGAGTGTCACATGACCTGTGGGAGGGGCGCGTAGTGACGTGCCACGTTCACAGCGCTGGATTAGCTGGAATGGCTTGGATAGACGGTTGCGGTTCATGGTACGATGAAATAGATCTAGAGTATAGAGGCCGGTTCGACGTTAGGCAACGAAGCCAAGCACGTGTGTAACTTTCTAAGAGCAGTTGTTCAGCTCGAGAGTAGACCAGTTCATTTCTGTTTGGTTAAAGCTTCCGCTTCTAATCAGCTGTAGTTGAGCATCTTGACTAACCAGCGAAAAAAAGCAATATTAAAAGACAGTAAATAATTTATGATCTTAGTAACAAAGAAAGGGTTATTGAAAGACATCAATACCTGGTATATTAAAAGAAAAACAGTGCTTGACGCCTTCAAGTAAAAATTTTAATTTCTACTTTACTTGGCCAAGCTTCGTTCAAACATTTAAGCTAACGTGATCATGCAAACTGCGGGATACAGAATGTACCGAGATACTATACACACAGAGTGTGTGCGTCGGACATGCCGTCTATGTATGATGAAGTAGGGGCTGACGCGTGTGAGGCTAGCGTAACCACACACTTCACGGGTATAATAGAATAAGAAATTCTGTGTCCCCCGGTCTGCCAGCGTGACAAAGCTAGTGTAAATTTTGACTTCATAAATCAATTGTAAGCTTTTCCCACACACCTTCTCTGTTTAGGTCGGTCGGTACAGTATCTTGCTGAGCATCACTTCCTGCTAATGGACCTTTCTCGAGTAACGAGGGCCATGTAGCGGTTCTTCCGCGAACTACAAATGAAGGGCAGCCCAACAGGACTCTGCTCGTGAAAGCACATCGACATCTTGCCGTTGAATCGGTTCTCATTGCCTTTTATGCCCCATGGTACCGAAAACCCCAAAAAGAATCGTCAAAAAAGACGAAATGCGCCGAAAGATAGGCGCTGACAATGTTAGTCGTGTGCTATGATGCCCAGCAAAAATGGAAACAGAGGGAAGCAAGTCCAGGAGAGTGGGTGTGCACATGCGCAGAAGCTTATTGAAAAAAGGTAAATTACAGTCTCCGTGAGGCGTGTTTTTGTATTGTTCTATTAATGCACTCTATGGGCCTATATGCTTTATATAACTTTAACCTACGGGTGAAGGTCGGGCATAGCGGTCGAGCGTTACAGTTTTTCATGAACCTGAGCAAGCAATAGATTGTGTGTTACAATCATGGCAATGCTGTGGAGATGAAATATTTAATGATCGCCAAGCGAGGAGCCTGTGAGCACCAGCAAGGTTTTAATGCTATAGCAATATTACGCTACTACTCGAGATTTTTATATGAATATCATATTCCCTGGCCGTGTTTTCAGGTTACCCGCTACGTTTAGCGGAAAATTTACGACATCCCCGCAAAATTGAGTGGAAAATTTACTTCACGTAACTTATGCACCGATTCAATTTCCCCGTAACCTGTCAGTGTGTGAAACGATGAATGCTATTGTATTCATAAATAATCTCCCTTGTGCTTTCTATACTCCTTTAATACATCGCCTCACGTTAAGCACGAGCACGCTCGACCCTCTGATTCAGTGAAGGCAATGAAGCAGCTTCACAAATGCATCGGCACGGCGCGCGCGCGCGCGTGTGTGTGTGTGTGTGTGCCTGCTTGCGTCTGCTAACACCGGTTAGAGGGCCCCTGAAAAGAACAAAACAAAAGTTAATTTAAACACTCTGGTCTGACACGCGTGTGAAAAACTAAATTTTTTGCGAAAAAAAAATTAGACCAATATTGACGGCGAGAGATTTAGTTGGAATTCAGCGCGCGAAACCCATGATGTCATGGGTAATTCCGGAATGACCATCTTCGTCGTGAAGGTCAACCGCACCACCTCTCCTCCAGGCGACCGAAATGCCGAGAGAGAAGAAAACAAGTAAAAAAATAAAAGGGGGGGGGGGGGGGGGGGGGCCTGCCGACTAAATCGCGTCTCGCGCCAACAGCGTTGCTCTAAACATTTGTTTTCGCGTAAAATTATTTTTCTGGCAAGGGTATCTCTATCCGATTGATTAAGAAGCGTTTCTTCTTTTCAGGGGCCCTTGAACCAATCACGCGCAAAAAATACTAGGGCTGCAGCAAATTCGCAGTGCGGAAATGGCCTAATCCATGATAGCCAACGCACAGAAACGATGAGCGTCGTGACGGTGCACTTTTGGCGCTGCTTGGTTTGGCTTCATTGGCCCATGGGCTGCGGCCGGACTTTAAAACTAAAATGGAGAATAATTGTTTATGTTTAACCGACATCAGTTTATCTCGGAGTGATGAATTCTAGCAGCACGCGCCTCATACTTTCATTCTAGCATCGTACAATTAGCTGAGAAGCGTTCAATGCCTTCAGACTGCGATGCCTGATCCATTATACCTCGTCATACCTGGCAACTGACTAGAGAAATAGTGGAAGCGGAACATATTGGCAGGTATGACTATAAAAGTGTTAGCTCTCCAACGCTCACTTCATCAGAAAAAAGAATTAGCTTATCTTACTACTATAGGATAAAGGCACACGGTCTTCATTCCTTGGGATGTCGATGGGATGTCAAGGAAAAAGAAACCAATTTTCACGAATGTATCAAAAAGGCGTAGAAGAAAAATAAGTGCGAATATATATCGAGTTGTCAGTCGGCGCAGTGTGAGCGTTTTGTCTGCTGCGATTGTGTCACTAAGTGTGATTGTTTTTGTGGCCGGTGGTAACCTGTGTTTGTATGTAACTGCATACTTGCGCTGTTATTTTGAGGCAAATCTCAAATTGTTCTGCCGCCGTACACAAGCTGACATCGACCGACGGATGAAGCAGTACTAAAAAGAAGCACGTCAGAGGCCACGAGATCTCTCTCTCTCCTTTCTACGTCGATGAGACCTTCTCACAAAAATATTGACCGACTGTGAGCTCACGAACCGGTAAATATTGTCTCATGGGTTGATTAGGCGCAAGCTTTGGCGCCACGTCCAATCGGGAGCCGAGAACCCTCACCCCCTCACCTTGACCAAAATCGAACCCAAGTAGTGGAACCGAATTTTGATTTGCTAGGTTCGGGGCTCGGTTGGTTAAGCTTTGGTGAGAGAAAACTGAGCTCTGGTTAGAATGATTCGAGGATCCATGCAAAGTTGGCTCTCTTTGTCTGTACACACTGTTCGATTGTCAAGTGCCGGTGTCCGGCGCTCGGCGTCTGCGTTCAAACGCGTTTGAACACCGAGTGGAGACAAAGGCAGTTACATGGCTTTGCGTCTACCCACTAAGTGTTCTAACCAGATCTCCGCGCTCTGGCGTTTCAGCACGCTCTTATCTCCTCGCCTCTCACACTTTTACACGCATGCAATTCCTTTCGCATTTCTTTACATTAATCACACATTTTATCTGAGTAAAATGGAAATGGCTGATACAAGGGACAGTTGCTAAACCTTTGAACGCAACATCAATTTTAGTTGTTACCGGAACTAAACTGTGAAAGAAGCGTCGTAATGTCAAGTGTTGAGATGAGACTGCGTTGTTAATGCAGAGTGCGTTACTAATTCCACTGAATATCGCGATGCAAGCCTCGTCGCCATAACCATTACGAAGTAGCGTGCGGATAGAGACCTTTCTAAATGTCACGGAACGTATATGGTATTTCCTTGCAATCCAACTGTTATAAAGAACTCTGTGTCGATAACAAAGCGTATTTTCCTGTCAGTAGTTATGTACACGCGTGCACCCCGATGCGAGCGAACAGCATTTTCAGGAGCAATGTTATTTGCTCGAAAATGTGAACTCTAGTTCGCAACTTTCTAGAAAGGTCGGGGGTGACCTGAAGTACGTTCGACTGAGATTTTATGTTTTATGTTTATGTGTTGTGCCGTAGGCGCTCTTATTTTATCAAGATTCGGATGCAAACCATGAAGGCGCTATTGGATGAGCGTTATTTAAACACAGCGGAGGATCGCAAGTGTCAATGCCGCTGAGCGCACAAGGTTCGGGTATTCTGAAAGCCTTGTACTCGGCTGGCGAAAAAAAAAATAAAGAAGGTAAAGACGGAAATACAAAGGGTCTGGTTTAATTTAAAATCGAACGCGCGTGTCGGCTTGGCTATTTCAATATATCTTAAAACGGTTTATATTTATATTCAATTTCCGCAATACACAAAGCCACTTTTAAAAATTTGTTCGAGAAATTATTTTTCTTCATAAAATTTTGAGATGGACCAAGGTGATATGCTGCATTTAAGCTGCGTGATTTTTCTACCCAAT